GCTTCCTTAACAAGCATGAAGCAGAGTCTGGGTCCCGGCAAAATCTCTTTTATTTACACGACTGTGAATTCCTTTCATTCCCAGTCAGCAAGCCTTTAGCAAACAGTCTTTCAGAGGAATATTTATCAACACGAACCTTATCTTGCTTGGCGAGCTGCCAGATAACTAGTTTCCAAATGCAGGGCAAGGCAAAACTTGGCACAGGGTCTCTTATAGTCACAAACAGAACTTTCCACTCTTGAAACAACCGAAGGAACGGATTGTTTCCTGCAAAAGCCCACTCTCCATTCGCTCCTCTTTTGTTTCCTATGGGAGGGGCCAAGTCGACCTTGCTTTCTTAATTGTTCTTGTCTTCTGGCAGCTCTGCGCATGCGCACACTGGGAACTGTTCCCCTGCCTCACTGCTGTCTAGCTCCCACTCTGCCTCCGACGCAGAGCCCTCTTCTGAGCTTTCTTCACTCCCCAGGACTGGCTCATATTCTTTTTCACTGCCCAACTCTGCTGCCCTCTGCTCTAGGCAGCTTTCTCGGGGTCTATGGCAACAATCCCTATTCGTGTATTCATTTACCAGAATCGAAGCCATGCCTCCTTCAACAAGAATTAAAATATTTGCAAGGTACCAAGAATGCCCAAGTACCTTATTTTTGTCCTACGCACATCCCTGTGGCTTCGCACGCTGGCAATTTGTGGGAAAGAGGATTTTCTCACTTGTCTTTGGCAGATCTATTGGTCCAGAAGGAAAGCAGCATATAAAAATTGAAGGAAGGAAAGAACAAAAAGACAGTAAAGAAATTGTTCCCATTCATCTCAAGTAATGCAGGCTTTTTCTCATTTTTAATGCTCAGCAGGGAAATACAATTTTTCATTTTCTGTTTCCTGTTCTGCGAAAACTTTTTGCTGTCCTTTGACAGTTACTAGGCCTTAGTTCCTCCCTATGGCATCCAGCAACATAAATATCCCTGTAGACAATTCTTTTGGTGCCCATAAGCTCTCTGACCTCCCCTCCCCCACATCCAGACTCAACTTTATTGTCAAGGATGCTTCCTGACCTCAAGTTAACCCAGCAGAAAATTAGAAGGAAAGGCGATTGGAGCCTTGAACTTTGTTTGATAGCAAGCTCACCTGCCTGGAAAAAGATCAACCACAAGCAGGGAGCTACAGTATGTGCAGCCTCTTTCAAGAGATGAGGCGCCAAGATTTGGTGGGTTGCATTCTGATAAATCAACTTCGTTATATCCCAGCTTCAGCAATATTCCCATTTTGCGAATAGATAAGAACCCTAACAATCATTTGCAAGAGGATTTACATGAGTGGTGCCCACTAGCACAAAACATTGGGGATTCCTCTTCTTGGTCATGAGAAATTCATTTCCTATGCAAAGTTACTACTAGTGAATCAGTCCAGTGATGGGATTCAAGTTTTTTTACTACTGGTTCTGGGAGTGTGGCTTGGTGGGCTTGGCAGGGAAAGGATACTGTAAAATCTCCATTCCCTCCCGATCAGCTGTGACCCGGGAGGCAGAGAATAGATGGTGGTGGGGTCAGTCAGAGGTAGTATTTACCGGTTCTCCAAACTACTCAACATTTCCACTACAAGTTCTCCAGAACTGGTCAGAACCTGCTGAATACCACCTCTGGATCAGTCCAATGCAGATGGTCATCAGCCAGATGATCAGCACAAAAACTTGCTTGCAAAAAGTTAGCACCCAATCAGTCATGGGCATCCTTCAGTCTCAAAAGACTATGGCATCGTTGCTCTGGAAAGAGGTCCTAAAGCAGCATCTGGTGTAGATAAAAAGTCCAATTTGGGGATGGCAATCCCTTCCACAATGAGGGCAGATACATTCTGTCCCCTGCCCAGCCCCCAGTTTTTGCTGGTTCCGGGCAGGGGTGGGTTTCAACCGGTTCGCGGCGGTCCCCGCGAATCGGTTGGTCGGCGAACCCGGAAGTAAGTAACTTCCGGGAAC